CCCGTCCTGTCTGCTTTCGCTTGTGCCTCTGTAGGAGGGAAAGCTTTCCTTCTGTGTTTCCTCTTAGCATTTAATGCCTGACTTCCCACACTTCTCATCACCCAGAGTCTGGCAGCGTCCTCACACCAAGCAGTTCTGTGTGTCCTGCAGAGTTCCACTCAGGCCTGACCCTTGTACCTGGAGACTGCATCAGATCCATGGTCTCCCATGGGATGGCCCCCACTCCGCTTATCACCCGTGCTTCTGACCCACCAGCTTATAAAATCACAGGTTCCCCAGGTCCCTTCTTCCTCTGGTTGGATTACTGGGCTTGCTGGAGCAGTTCACAGGACTCAGAGAAACATTGACTTATGTTCACCAGTTTGTTACGAAGGAGATAGTAAAGGATAGAGACGAACAACCAGAAGGAGCAGTGCATGTGGCGAGGCCCGGAGGGTCCCAAGTGCAGGACTTCTGTCCCCGTGGAACTAGGGTCTGTCTCTCACGTGCTCCCCAGCACAGAAGCTCTCTGAACCCCGTCCTTTTGGGTTTTTACAGAGGCTTCATTACATAGGCATGATCAGTCACATCAGTGGCCCTTTGTGATGGCTTCCAGGCCCCTTCTTCTCCTGGGTGGGGAGGGGAGTGGGATTGAGGGTTTTACCCTATCATTGGGGGTACCCGTCCGTCCTTAGGTGCCTTCCACAAGTCCCCTCATCAACCATTAACATAAATTCAGGTGTGGTTGAAAGGGGCTTGTTTTGAACAACAAAAGATACCTTCTGCTCTTACCACTTAGGAAATTCCAAGGATTTTAGGAGCTATGTGCCAAGAACTGGACAAAGACCATGTATATATTTCTTAACATAAACACAATACCACAGAATTATTCCTCTGTCATTTGGGTTCCTATTTTGTTTTCCAGTTCTTTTATTGTGGTAAAACAGACATATCATAAAATTTATTATCGTAATTTGTTTCAAGGGTACAGCTGAGTGCTGTTGAATATGTTCATAGTGCTGGACTGCCATCCCCACCGTCCGTCTCTATAACTCTTTCCATCTTACCCATTAAGCACTGACTCCCATTCCTCCCACTGCCCCAGCATCCATCTATCTCTTTTCTGTCTTCCTGGGTTTCTAACTGTAAGATGACTGACCGTTTCTGTGCTGCCTTTTCTTTTTTATAAATATATCCATGTCACGAGGTTGTTAGGAGAATCAAAAGTGTCAGTACACGTGAGAGCTGAGTGTCTCGCACTTAATAAGCACTCAGTGTCCCCAGCATGTCCTGGGCACTGTGGGCACCTCACTGTTGTGCTGATACAGGTGTGTGATCTTTATAGTGAATGTGATTGCAGTTGTGCTTCATCTGATAGAAAACGATGGGAAACCCCTGTCGTGTGGGTGCTTACACGTACGTGGGATAAACTGTTGACTCAGCTCGTGGTCTTCCCTCTGGTGCTTGCATGTAGGTGCACTATAAATATTTGTTGAGTTGAATTGAAATTCAGTTTGGCAGGATTTATCAAAAATCTGTATAAATCAATGAGCAGAGTTACTGGTAACTGTGATCACCTAGAAGTGGGATCGTGTTACAGAGTTGGTGTGGCCTTTCTTCATCTAAGTGATCAGTGTCAAACTCTTGTACAAGCCAGACATCTGCAAAAGCATAGTTTTATTTCATGTGTTCATGAGGTGAGAGGGCACTGTCATATAGCCCCTGGCCTCACAGAAATCCATGTGAACAAATAGTCTTCAGGAAATAGATGTGGCTTTAACTGTTACCACCAGAACATGTTAGTATGCAAGAGGCCAGTTAACATTGGGAGGTTAAAGGCTGCCTGTATAGGACATAGCAAGTCTCCGAAATGTGGGTGTCTTACAAGACTCCCTGGTTGTAAATAACATTTTCAAGGGCGGATTTATGGTGTCATGCACTGAGAGCTACTGGAGAAGAAAGGATGACTTCATTTGATCTCACTGAGGTTCCCCCCACCCAACCCCCCGCCTTCATACCAGCAGTGAGGACATGCAGCCAAGGCCGAAGCCCTGGAATTCGGCTAGCCAGCAACAGGAGGGAGCATTCAAGCCTGAGACACACAGAGCTTATAACGTGGAAGTTAAAGCGGCAGGTCATGGCTGTGTGACACACGTGATTGGTAAATACAGAGTCTGTCCTTCTGTTTATGCAGCACTTTGATTTCACCCTTCGTGAAAATCCTTCTCTCTTGTTCTGATTGTTTTTCTGCTGTACGTGACTTGTTGAGCGAGGAAGGCTGTGATCTTTTTTAAGGCTTTAACTCTGAAACAGTTACAAACTTTTACTGCATCGTGTGAACTATTGTTTTCAGCATCACTACGTTATCCTGTACTGTTTTTTCCTTTCTAATCCCTAAATTCTCCGTGCTGTCAGCCAAGATTTACGGGGCCTAGTTCTCAATCCGACACACCCTGGAAACGTCTTCCTGGACGGTCTGACCCGTCAGGGACATGGGTACCGTCCGCTGGCACGCTCTGTGGGGGTGAGGCTGGTTTATGTCTGCGTGGCTCCTGTCACAGCCACAGCCACAGGTGATGGGTGAGCGCTCACAGTGCGGCCCAGTGCGGCCAAGGAGTGGAATTTAACATTTTGTGCATTTTAAATGTTAATCCAGATGGTCATGTCTGGTAGTGACAGTGGTGTTGGCCAGCACAGCCCCGCGAGTCCAGAGTCGCCGTGAGGTCCACGTGCCCGGCTCGTTCATGTTGGCAGTCACGTGGTGGAAGGGCGACTCACACTCAGCGGTCGCTGACTCACCTGAGGGTGAGGCTACACCGTCAAGCACCCATTTTCTTCCATGACAAGGAAGGCGGGAAGCACCTGCTGAGAAGGAACATTCTCACACAACTGCTCTGCACGGACTGTGAGGCACACGGTCAGTCATGCAGGCATTCTCACGCGGTGGTTCTGCGACTCTGGCTGCGGACAGTTGCCTGGGGGACGTGTGAACCCACCGCTCTTTCTGCTGCAGTACTCTGAGCTGGGGTCTGAGACCGTGCGTGTTTATCAGTGCCTGGTGGTGCTGATTCTGCTGGGGGAAACTGAGGACCACCGCTCGGGGGGTCCAGGGTGGAGAGGCGACCCTCTCCGCTCAGGGCTTCTTGCCTGTTGGAGCTTCTGGTCCACGGCCGCTGGGGGAGGTTCCCTTCATGGGTCTCAGTTCTTCCGAAAAAAGGGCACATTCACTCACCTTTGCCTCCCAGGCCCAGGAAGAGAAAAAGGGTTACACTGAGATCTTTTTTGTAACGTAGTTTTACGTTTAAAAGGAAAAAAATGTAGTGAGTAGGGAGAGAAAATTGCTTGCAAGAAATACTAATGATTTCTGCTTCTCAAAATATGTTCATAAATGCTAGGAAAGAAGTAGCAGAGTGGTTTAGTAATAGTAAAAAGAGATCACTTGTAAGTTGTGGAGAATATTCAAATATTCGACGTGTGTACAGTTACACGTTGGTAAGATTGGAGAGGCTGAGGAGAGTCAGGGTAAAGTAGACCTGACTGAGAGGTGGATCTGAGGACAGGGTAGGAGGTGATTCTTGAGCAATTTTCAGGTAAATGAGAGAGACGGGCGCCCATCTGTGTCGACGCGGTTCCAGGTGGAGGCAATGCCGGTCAGTCTCGGAGATGCGGACCAGGCGGCAGTGCGGGGTCTGTGTGGGGCGTTCGGTTCTCTCCAGGGAGAGAGCTTGTCCAGAGAAATGAGAGAGATAAGTCGATAAGTGAAAAAGAATATGAAAAGGAATCCATGTACTAAATGTCTGACTGAAACGCAGAGCTGGACGAGCAATTGACACGACGCCGTAAACTGACTGTGCCTGTAAAGAACAGGACAGACAGTCAGGGCGGCTGGGAGGGAGTCGTCGTGG